GGGTAGGCATGGAGAGGGGAGGGCTGCAAGGGGTCACCTGCCATGACTGAATTAAATGAGACGTGAGCAGGATGAGGACACCCCTGTCACTGCTGGAAGGTGACAAAGCAGGCAGAGTTAGGGACTGCAGCCCTGTGGGTGCTGGTGAGTCAGGGATACATTGTGGTGAGGGCTGGGGACACATGGGGGCTTCCAGGGGCAGATGGACCCAGGGGTCCGGAGCTCAGTGAGAGGTCTGGGCTGGGGAAAGATGGGGGGTGTTGCTGCCCTGGCTGTGGCTGGAGTCCGGGCTGTGTGGCTGGGAGAGGCCGGGGGGGTGGGGCATAGGCTGTCCTCCGGGGAGGCCCAAACTGCAGGACCAGGGCATCGCATCCCTCGAGGTGGCAGACCCTCCGAGGCTGGTGGCTGGCATTCTTCTGGCAGGTGGGGCCAGTCTCTCATTCGGGCTCCCCACACAGACCCAGGGAGAGCTCCAGGGAGTCCTGGTGGCTGCTGCCAATGTCCAACTGTTTCCGGGCATTTGCAGCTCCTGCCCTGGAAACCCGTCCATGGCCAAGACAAAGGGGTCGTTCCTAGGGGAATCAGATGGCCATGGAGCCAGCTCACCATCCCTGCCGGGTACTGCAGAGGGTCACCTGGGAGGGTGTGAGGAGGGGGCTCGGGATCTGGAAGCAGAGGTGGTGGAGCCTCAAGGCTGAGGTCCTGGGAGGAGTGCTGGGCTGGGCGTCTGGCCCCTCCCTGACCTCCTGCAGGACTCAGGGCCTCTGTCTCCCACCTGTACAATGAGGGGCCAGACCAGAGAGCCTTCAGCTCTGGCATATGAGGTTTTGGGGTCCTGTATTATTTGGGGTGCCCCAGGTGAGGAGGGGGCGGGATAGCTGCACAGACGCGCTAAGTTACAGTTTTCTGGGTGGGGCCCAGGGCAGAGCAGCCATGTCTGGGATTTGGCTGCGTTGGGCCTCACCCTGCAAGAACATGGAAGAGGTGGGTGGGTCCTGGCTGGAGCAGCTGCCAGGTTGTCCCCAAACACCTAATGGGACTCAGGGGTGGGGTGGTTGAGAGTTTGGGTTTTAGCATCTGTCAGACTTGGGCTCTGACCCTGCTCTGCCGTTGACTTCGAACTATGACCTCGGCAGTTTCCTTAATCTCTGACCCTGAATTTCCTCGTCTGTAAAACAGGGCTTGTGATAATACCTACTTTATGAGTTTATTGAGACAATTAGTGAAATCATGGTCTAAAAGCACTGGTGTCCATGCCTGCAGGGATGCCAACTGCTACCCTCTAAACCGATCATTTGCTTACTAGTGTAGGTGAGCCATCCCTTCCCGGGTGGGCATTTTAAGACCGGGCAGGGAATGGGGTGTGAGTGGACTTCAGAGTTTCTCAGAGTCAGGAGACAAAGCTGGGTCCTTCGGGGGCGGAGGAGGGAAGGGGATGGAAAAGCCGTCTGAGAGAGCAGGGTCTGATGCCTGTCTGCAGGAGGGGAGGTCGGAGCTGGGCGGGGCTGGGGTAGGGGTGGGGGATGGAAAACTGTACCCCCTGGGGCCCATGCTCTGCAGGAGCACTGACCCCGTCTGGGGCGAGCCCAGGCAAAAGCTTTCTGGGCTTCTGAGCCTCAGCGGCTGCCAGAGCCCTCTGAGAAAGGGTGTTGTCTGAGATTGGGTCCAAGACCATCTTCCTCCTTTGCAGTAATTTTCCAAGTTGTGTTTATATCTCCCTGGAACGTCCCTAATCCCTGAGGCCAGGAGGGAAATTTGATGTCATGATTTGGATGGATGAAGGAGATTTCTGGAGAGAGATTGAAAGAACAAAGAGGTGGAAGCTTTTCTATGATGCTGGACTGAAAGGGTTAAAAACAAGCCAGGGACTTCCCTGGCGATGGGTCTGGGGACAGGCACCTGAGGACAGTGCCCAGAGGCTGCAGGGGGGAGGGCCTGGACCCAGCTGGGGTTGGACCTGCTCCTGGCCTGCTGAGGGACAGGAAGGATCTTGAGTTTCTGTTTTGGGAAATGATTCTTTTTTTCTCGCTCCTGATTATAAGAGTAAGAAAGTGCTTAGCAAAAAGGTTCGAAGGAAACGCTGTAAACTGTTAACAGTGGTCACCTCGGGGAAGGGCCTGGGATTTAGAGTGTGTGGGGCAAGAATCAGGGAAATGTCCACCCTTGGTGTACTGTTTGAATTTTTTTTTTTTTAAACTTGGGTGACCAGAACAATCCTTGTTTAGGTCTGTTATCCTGGTGTAATTATTAACACGGCCTCTTTTCGCTCTTGAGTGTCCCAGTTTGGACCATTAAATATAAGGTCATGTTATTTATAACAAGCAAGTTTTGATTTTGTAGTGGCGTTTTATATGCTCATTATGAACAAGTTCAGCCAGCAGGGAAAGATCAGGGAAGGGAGTAAGGTAGACCTGGGGTCCCCTACAAAGTCGGCCCTGCAGGGTGGTGTCAAACAGAAGGGGCCTGAGAAATGGTTGCCCAAGTCCAGCCAGCAAATTCCTCCCTGCCTTGTTTTCCCTCCACAGAGGATAGCCTGGCACAGGCCAGAGGGTTTAGCGTATCAGAGGTGAGTCCAGGACACCTCCGAGAGGAAGCCCCCTGTGACCTAGAAGGAGGGGGAGGGGGAGAGGGGGTCTGAGCGGTGGGGAGGGACTCAGCTCCAGCCCCTGCGTGAGCCCCTGGCTGGCCATGGTCACGATCAGAGTCAGCAACATCCTGGGAGATGTCGCAGCCAGGAGCGGGCACGTTGCTCCCCTGCCCAGCTGAGTGAAGCGGGGCCCCTGAGGCCCCACACGAGCCCATGAGACACGTCGGCGGCCACCATCCCACCAAAGTCCACTCCCTCTGCTTGTCCTGAGGGACTCTCTGGGGTGGACCCCACTAAGCCCAGAGCCCTGGACATTAGGATAGGGTAGGTAGAGGGGAGCCTCCCAGCGATGGTACAGGAGAGGGGAGGCAGCCCCCGGGGCTGAGCAGGTCCAGCCAGGGGTTTGGGCATGGCTGACTGGTCACGGTCACCTCCCTGCAGATGCGCCCCGGCTGACAGAGCTGCCTCGGGATGTCACCGTGATGCTGGGGAGGAGCGCTCTCCTGGCGTGCCGGGCCACGGGCCGCCCACCCCCAATGGTCACCTGGCACCGCAGAGACGGCCAGCCACTAAGGCCCCGGCAGGGCAGCAGGGCTGGGCAGCCCGATTCAGGACTGCTGTTCATTGAAAGTAAGAGACTGGGGCCAGGAAGGGAGGGCATGGGAGACAGGATGACTTCCAGCACCCTGAACCCCCAGGCTGGGTGGTCGAGAGTAGGACACTGGCCCCCAGCGCTGACCATGGGTCAGGCTGATACTGGGTCACACTTTGGCTGGGTCACTCTGGCCAAGTCATTCCACTGCTCCAAGCCTGGGTATATCAAGATAATGATAAAACCCGCTACCCAGCTTGAATAACAGGCCCCTTTATAGGGCTGTCGTGTGGGCAGTATACGTAAGTGATTAGTTCCTGACACACGCTGAGTGTTGTGTAAGTGTGAG